ATGGAGGACCATTAATATATACCATTATCCTATTGCAGTTTTGTAAAGTTCCACATATTTGTGCTGTATATCCTGCTTTTAATAATGAATTTTGAAGATAAAGATAATTTATCATCTCAGCTAAACTCTGAGCAGCCAGATAATTTTCTCAAGGAAACGGGGGAAACAGTGATAAAGTGAAAATTGCGCTGTAATGCTCTAAAAATATTAATATCTTTTGGTACATGGAGATAAAAGCAATAACTCCGAAAGAAAATAAAGTTTATTCGAGGTTGAATGTTACGAAGATAGTAGAAGGGCGAGACAAATGGTACCATTCAGAGCAGATGGCTTTGAAATAACAACAAATGCAGAAAGTTACATGGCGCAAAAGATCGCAGAAAGGAAAGGCCACGACAAACTTTGCCCATGAAGGACATGTTTAGAATACAAGATTGTTAGTATTTTGTATTCAAATGTTCCTTTTCTGTTTTATATAGGATGACTGTTGTCTTTTAAGTTGAAGCTGATACATAGGAGGCAAATAAATAGACAAAATAGGGGATAAACAAAAGTGTCAATGTCAAAGTAACTAGGGCAACCGCAATGGCGGTGTGACGGGGGAGAGGGAGTGGGAAACACGTACCCTTCCCCAACTCACGGCAAGATCGAATTTTTATATTTCGCCTGAAAGCTTTTAACTGCTTTTACGTAACCATAAGTGTTCTCTATTGGCAAATCAGGATTTCCTGTAGACTGTAGTACGGGGCGCTTTCTAACAGTGAAAAAGTACGCCCAATAATTTTGTTTCGCCTCCTCCTTAAAAGCCTAGCGGCTGGCACTGCTACTGTGTAGCCAAGATAGATTGACAGCTGATGGGGGGGGGGGAGCTAAGAAATGTCTTAGGAGGTTAAGCACCTATTAACCTCCACGTCATGTGCCTCGCCACATCTCCTTTCTGTGTCTGCAGACAAAACATACGCAAGAGGTTTACGTACAACGCTAGTCGTGCATACCGTTTTATTGTCAAATATACAATACAAATTTTCGTAGATTGGTATTAAGACTGTCTGCTATCTGTTTTGTGGACAACGGTACAATCGGTGCAGATAGTGCAGTTTGTCTTAAAAGAATGCCCAATAAAGGGTAATTTGATTTTGAAAGAATGTGCAGACCGTTGCTTCACCGCCAGCAGATCCATAGTTTCCACGACCCGACGATCAGGAACTAGAAATATGTAGACAGCCGCCCGTTTTACAAATGTTTAATGAGACGTCGCACGTACAGTGACGCATGCGATTCCGCGGCCAAGAAAAGTAACTGGATTAAAAAGATTTTGCCATCTTTCAAATTTTAGATTTATAAAAGGACAACAAGAGAACAGAGCACAGAGGAGAGAATTATTTGTTGTAACATTTTTATGGTTTCTAGCAAATTGGTAAGTTCCTTTGCTTGTTATTTGTTATTTGCTTGTCTATAATTTTTAGGACCTCCTGTGTCAAAGATTTCTTTATTTTTACGTAGTAAAGCATTTTTCATTGATCAAATATAATTGTTTTTTCCTCGGGCCTTTGCCCGGTCGATAGCCTCAGGCAAATAGCTAGCTAAATGAAATAAACATTCAACATCAATGTTTCTTGTTTTTTCTATTCAAAATATAATGTACTCGTGAGTATTTGAAGTGCTTGTGGATACATTTGAAATTTACTGTCCCTGTCTTATCTTTCGCCGCATCGCTACCACTGGTGTGTGCATATCGTCCAGCTGCAGTTCTTGGAAAATCTGTCCGTGATTATCTAATTAAACGGAATATTTTAATCGTATTCTTAACCTTTCATGACAAATTCACTATTTACAATGCCAAAACCTTTCACCACTCCAAACTTAATAATACTTCGAACAATTTTTATGTTTATTATTTTATTCAAAGTGTAGCTCTGTGTTGCGTTCGTCAAAAAGAACTCTCCTGCATCCGTTAAAAATATTCAGCCGAGAATTGTCAGATAATTTCCGAAAATGATCATATTGAAGTTTGCGACTCTGCCTGATTATAACTAATTCATTCCTTCATTGGCTCTTCATATCGTTTTTCTGCACCGAAGAATTATTCCATGCATTTGTGCATTTTGGACACCACAGTTATCTTTTTCTAAGAGACTTCAGCAGGGGGGAGGGGGTCTTGTCAACCAGAGACGCTGGTAGAGTAGTGGGGTCGAGAGCGTGGCAAAGCACCAAGAAAAGGGCAAAAAATTAAATAATGTAGAGAACAGCTGAATTTTTCAAGGGCAAGGGGTACCCTGGGTACCAGAGCCGCAAAAATTTAATGGCAGCAAAAAATAATGTTTTTTGCTGCCGTTAAATTTTTGTGGCTCTGGTACCCAGGGTAGGGCAAGGGGGTGACTGTCCCCGTCCACCGCGCATGTCCCTGTGCCTTGGCGTTGCTGGGATCAAGCCTTTGCTATAATAAAAGGAGGTTAATAGTCTGTTGTAATGAAACAATAGACAGTATAGAGGAGTGATTGATCCCTAGCTAGTGAAATGCCTTCTTCTGAAATGCCCTGAAATTGGGCATACCGTAAAAACCAGACCTTAAGACCCTAAGACCCAGGACCCTTAAGTACTAACATCACAAAGGACCCTTAACACCAGAAGGGTCCTCACCTCGATAAGACAATAGTTGATCACAGTCGACTGTCATCATCGCACCAAGAGGACATACCAACTGTCAAATGCGCTTTTGTGCCAACTACGGCGTTTTTCCGCATATTATCCACATCAGCTGCTGCCTTCAAATAAGTCAGAAAGTGACAAGGAATTTGAAGATCTTTCAAAATCGTTTAACATCTTGGAGTCAACCATAAAGACAAGACACAGATCAAGATCAAGGCCTGTGTCAGAGATGAAGATGCAGGCACTTTCTTTGCACTTCCTTTGGTTGCTGCTTGTCGCTTTTGCGTGATTTTTTTGGATTCTGCCCTCCCTATTCTGAAAAAATAGCATTATTGGCAAATCGTGGGGGGTGTAAACAGAAGTTTTCTATAAAAACGCTATTGTAAATTTGGTTTGGTGTGTAATTTTATATTTTGGCATATCTAAGAGCAAACTGTATGTAGTCGCATATAAGAAACTTGAAACTTTTTAATAAGACAATTTGGTTTCTTATACACAAGAAAGTGTTTTTAATCGACAAATGTCTTAAAGCAAACGTTAAAGCTTATTGTTTTTGGCTGAACTTTCAGGAAATCAGTAATCAAAAGTAAACTAGATGCCATCGAAAATAGACCCGAAATTAGAAAAAATAGACGAAATGATTCTGGAACTGATATCTACTAACAGAGGTCAGCTTCACAAATTCCCCGCATAAAAATAAATTCAATGAATTATTTGATAATTATTTTTCTAAAATCATATGGCAGAGGTTTTCAGGATACATTTTTTAATATAAAGATTTGTGCAAAGTTTGCAGGAAAATATCGACAGTTCTGTGGCAACCACTCTAAAAGGGAACAAAAGAAAAGAAAACTAAAAGAAGCCCAAAAGGTTGCCGTAAACTTCCTTGTCGCTGTCTGACTCCATGACAGACTTTTTGAAGACAGCCTGATGTGAATAATATGCGGAAGAACGCCGTAGTAGGAGCAAAAGCGCATTTGACGGTTGATATGTCCTCTTGTTGCGATGATGACAGTCAACTGTGATCAACTATTGTCTTATCGGGGTGAAGACCCTTCTGGTGTTAAGGGTCCTAGGTCTCAGGGTCTTATGGTCTGGTTTTTACGGTATGCCCTGAAATCGCAGAGTGCCACGACGTGTGTTTCGAAAGCAATTGTTGCTCGGAACAGACAGTACTTGTGAAAGCGCTGTCATCATTTTGTCATTCTGCATGGTTTGGATGAGGAAAATGTCACTGATATCCAGCATTTTCTGGCAAAGACTCTGGGCCAATATTGCAAGATTTATAAGGGAAATTTTTAGGTACCAAAAACAAATGCAGGTCACCTCCTGTAAAGCAGACTAAGTTCTTTGTTGTAGTTGTTGCGTCTTATTCCTTGTTTGTTTTGGCTGAATTTACATAAAATTTTATAGTTGTCGCTTAATCATGTTTGTACTGTTACTTGTTGTTACTGTTAATTAATTAATTGATTTTCTTTTTTCCCGTAAATAGCTCTAATTTGTCATTTGGACGTAAAGAGCTCGTTTGAGTATTAAATTGTACTGTAGTTGGTTATATTGATGATTGGCTAGCAAATTCCCGGGTCCAGGAGCCCCGCTAAAAGCTGGCTGTTGTGCATGATGTTTTATAATGCTTGGTTTTTTAGTTAAATTTTATACAGTTGCGTCGACGGACACAAGGCCAAAGAGCGTATGTTGGAAATCTTGGAATAATGGTGGGTTCCAACGTCAAAATTTCTTTATTAAACTGTTTGAAAAGTCCCCCTCCCCAGGAACTGTTTGAATAAAGAAGAGAGTAAATCAGGAAATGGGAGATTACTAGTAAAGAAATATCTGTTCACAAAGCATTTTGATCTCGTTATGTCTATAAGAGGGGGAAAAGATTCGTAAAAAAGAAGGAACTTAAAAAAGTTCGACTGAAGAACCTTATAGAAGTAAAACAAAAGCTAGCTAAACGGTGCATCAAAGGGTTCTTCTTGTCATTTCAAATCTGTTATCAATTCATTGATTTCTTCAGTGTTCTGTTGAGGCTGGTCATATGTCCACAGAATGGCGTGGTATTAGTCACCAGTATTACATGAAGCGTGGGTTATTAGTTCACCCCGACGAAATGAAATGCATGGAAATGAAACAGTCAAAAGGTAGAACGTAGGCGTGTTTTGCGTCAGAACAGATTTGATATCCTTGATCGCAGACATAAAAAGGAACTTCGATTCACAGACGTGATTTCGTAATTGTACGAAACAGGAATTTTGTTTCAAACAAAGAACTTAATCAGCTCGAAAGAAAGCGAGAAACAAACTCAGTCAGTGCAGTAGACCAACAAAATACAAATATTGGTACGTTTTTTCATTTTCGATGTCAATGAAATGTTCGCAACATTTTTTCTTCTGGGCGTGCATGTTAAAGAAATTGTGTTTGTGTAGGATTTTTGTAGCGAAGTTGTTCATTTGGTATTATATATAATGGCATTTAAAAGTGTTCTTGATGCGCAGTCTTTTAAATTTTGATGCAAACTTGAGAAAAATCTTCACAATTGCCACGCTTTACAGATTTATCCCCGTGCGCCAAAGAACGTCTGGATTCAGATTGTCTTTGCAAAACCTGGCAGAGATTTTCGCGATTCACCGATCGAATTCTGCTACAACATGACAACATGCTGGGTTCGGGGATGTTTCAATGAATTTCAATTTCTTTAAAAAGCAAGATTATCATCTGTTGATTTTTTGCCCTTTGAGTAAATTTCTTCGTCAAAATATTGCATTCGAACTGTCTGCATTTTAAAACACTCACTAAAACATTTATTTAAAGGATTAAAATATATTTTCTCTTATTTCTATAAGAATCTAGATATGAGCAAAATGCACATTTCCAAAGATCTTCCCAAAGTTTTTAAGTATCATTGCCCTCCAAAGATATTCAGCCTTGTTGGTATTAGTTTCAAGTTTTTCAGATTAGTATTACTGTGCACTTTTTGCTAGGCAGTGCATTCTTTTTCAATTGGCGCTCTATGTGTATGTTCTGCTCTATGACAGTCCCCTTTCAAAACAACAGAAGCCTGTAGATTTGGGCTGAACGTAAACAACATCCAAAATCTGTTTCTATATCGGTTTCTCCACGACCTGAGTTAGGGGGTCATCAAGGGGAGTAGAATTCCGCCATCCTGCACAATATTGGGTTGAATTCGTATTCCGTGAATCATTTCCGAGAAAATCCGCACCCAGTAAATGTGTAGTATTTCGTTTCATCGAAAAGTTGCTACCTTGGGTCCCAGAGCCACATAAATTCGATCGCTCCTCCGCTGCTCCGCTTGACTTACTGTTTACGCGCTCGAAATTTTATGGCTCTGGCACCCAGAGTAAGAAATTGCCAGATTTACGCAATCCGCAACAAATTTTCTTCAAATACCGTTGTTCCATAAACCTTGTTGACCCTACCTTCGATATGTTTTTCTTTTTCGTGCGTTTTTTTTTCAACACATCTTCTGCCCTTCAATAAACTCCATAAATTTGACTTGATGTAAACAGTTTCTCAGTGGAAATCAGATGAAAACCGATGGATACAGCGGAATTACCGAGTACTCAGATAGCAATGTCTTCATACAGAAATCTTGATTCACAGCAACATACATTACTTTAGTTACCTGTAAACCATTTTTCCAAATCGAAATTAGAGCACTATGACCATAAAAGTTAAACATTATCCAATCTCTGGGCAATAGTTTATCTTTGATGAAGTTTAAAGTTAAGTGCCTCTTGAGCCAGTCAGAAGAAAAGTTCCTAGATAGGATTGTTGTTTTACCCCAATTTTTAATGTTTCCAAAGAGGAGCCTTTTCTTCACAAGATAAATACCTTCAGACAATAGGTAATAAAGCAGAAGATTCTGGATTTGAAAAAAAGTAAACATTAGATTTGCTACTGTTCTCATAACCACATGCAACTTTGTCAGTCGCGTATTGTTCTATATGCCCAGCCTTCAGGTCAATTTTAACACTAATATTTGATTATATTTTATTGTATTTTATCAAGATCAGTATCAGATCTGGTTTTTGTTTTAATACGATTTATTCAAGCCACCCTGTATCATTTAAGGTGGGCTGAAAATACCGATCTAAGAGAGGAGAAGGATTTCCAACATCTTCATAATCGCAATATCAAGAAAATTCTGTTTTTTATTTCAATTTAGGACAAATGCCCGGACTTATTTGGACATAAAAAAATTTCATATCGATTCTCGTGTTTATTGTTTTACTAGCACTTTGATCTAGAGTTAAGTTTTTAAGTTTCTTATCTCTCTGGTTTTCCAGTTCGTAATAGAATTACTTTTTCCACTGTAAGCTATTTGAATGTTATGCATGACATCAGAATTGGTGCCTTGGAAGATGTACCTATTAGACTCAAATGATTAAAGTTCGAAAGTTCGGAAGAAAGGTCGAAGATACTTACAACATTATTTACAACTAGCAATACCACGTGCGTTCTTACCATTGGAGCTACTTAATCTAGTTCGGCTATGCAAATGGCTACCAGTGCCTGAAAGGCCAATGATACGGAATTATAGACCGTTGGGGGTGACCTGTGTTTAATTATGTTTTTGAGTCTAAATTGTGGAGACTCTGGTACCAGGGTGATCCACTTCCGGGCAGAGCTTGAATAACTGAACACTCGATAGCCCAACCCGTGACAATACGAGACGAGAAGTTAACTTTTTGGTTAAATTCACACACATTCTTCATCCTTGGCATTTTTTAGGTGCTTTGAAAAAGTTTTAGACATTAAAACATCCTAAAAACTGATGATGTTTGTTATGCTACTCTTCTAACGGCATACAGACTTGTGGCATGTGCTCACGAGCATCAACCAAGTATTGATTAAGTCTGAGGCAGAGTGTATCATCAGCTACACTGATTAACGTTGGGGATTTTGCTGTGAAAGAAGCACTCCTGCTAACAATTCTTCAGAAGTCGTGGAACTCATCCGAAAAAACGCAAAAAATGCTTGTAATCAAACAGGTACAAGTCTTGCACTAAGATTTGAAACTCCTTTACTATCCCTCTATGTGAACATTCTATGACACCCAGAAAGAGAAATATAAGAAATAGGAGAAGAAGATAATAAGCTTCCTGAACTACCAAAAGGTATACAATAGGTACTAGAGCAACATTACAGAACAAAAAAGGAAACCTGGGCCGTTTCATCCTACACTGAATCCAGATTAAAAGAAGTGTCATGTATAGAGGGACATAAATTTGAGTGCAGAAATGAAGACGCTGCTCTACTCCATCGATCCTCCTCTTCTTCGCTCCTCTTTTCCATTTCCTCGCATGAATTTTTGTGGCTTATAATGTGAAGCATTTTAAGTAGAAGGTCAACAATTGTTCTTGACACGCCTTGATGGGAAGAAAACTTGGCTAAACTTCTCTCTCAACTGAGTTGTCGTTTGGCAGCCCAGAAGAAAAAATCAATAGAAAAGGCTTTAAGAGACCCCCCTGAATTGTGAAAATATCTAGAAGAGGCATCACATAATGAAAAGTTTCTTGTATTGTTTATGTTTCCTTTTGTTTTATTTGCTGATACCTGCAATTAGATGCTGAAAAGGACATTTACAACTGTAACATGCACGTATTTTTTTATTTTCAAGAAACATAAGTCGACCTCCTATTGCTAATTTGCAGCTGCTTTTTGGAAGCGCTAATTTTTAGGTTGATATAAAACTGCTTAATTGAAAATAATTGTTGAAAGAGCAGTATTGCAGTTTTGGGTGCAATATGTTGAGCGGGAACTCTCTTTATATTTCTCTTTGAAGCAGGTACTAAAATTTGATGTGTTTCTGTCTTATTGTAAAAAGAGAGTTTGGCAATAATACCATTGTGCGGAGGCGCTAACAAAAGTCACGTCCAGCAGGTATCGTGTTTAAAATTACAATACTGAATGTAGAATATGGAAGAGTTTCGACTGGAAGCATGAATTCAGCTTTGTTTCTTTAAGAATTGAACTGTAACTTTTACTGTTAACGTCATCCAAAAGAGGAGCATTGCTAGCAAGTGAATTCGAAAAAAACATCGCCAAGCAGTAAGTGCTGACCTTAATGAAAGAATTCAGCTTCTAAGGAGGATATTGGCATTTTGAGTTGGAATAAGAGAAATTTTATGGAAGAGACTTTTTATCTTTTGCTTTTGACTACAGACTGGAAATATTTAAACTAACAGCAGGTAAGTATATAACTATAATTGACTGTAAGTTGTTCCCTAACATGAATTAACAGCCACTCTATCTATCAAAATCGATTCACGCCTGATGGCTGCATTACGAAAAGGGGAGCATGCATTCCCGAGGCAACTATTTTATCAGACTAGTCCTTTCAAACTGATTATAAGCTGTGATGGGAAGAAAGATTAAACTTTCCGCTAGAAACGATGAAAGTTGTAGTTGGCTTGCGCATACCCTTGCAAAAAATCTGGTCAAACCATAAAGCACTGCTGTAGTGGAATAACGTATCTTGGCACTATAAAATGTCATAGGAAAAAATAGCACGGGAACACGCGTAGTTCCAAAACATTTTACCGGAAAAAAGTTTTGCTTCTGAAATATGAATACGCAAATTCCTAAAGTGACACTACCAAATTCTTATTTTTTCATTTTACATGTTGCGGACAGGATGATTACAATAATTGCTTCAATAACGAAATATGCTTTTTCGTCGTATTTTAACTTGTTGCTTGTAGAGCTATGCGCTTTTTTTTAGCCCTCGCTACGAAATCTCTAGATCACTTTCAAATGTGGGCTTTAGGACTTGCTCAAAAATATACATTTTCAGGATAAAACCTATTATATTTTCATAAAATTTATAGCTGCAAAGGAAATTGTCCCGAATGTGAAGTAATAAAATAAAGAAAATCATTTACAAGGCATTAAGCCGCATCCTGACTTTGTGTTTTCTCTAAACATCAAAAAGTGATTCTATTTTGTTTCAATCGCTGTGTTTACTTCTCAGAAATGTAGCTACATAGATGATATATTCCATTCGTTTAACGATAAACTAATGCGCGCAAATATCATTTCAATACACTCAAAGACGTTCGAATAATTCTTCTTTGCTTTGAAAAGTTGTTACATATTTTTTTCCCTGTCATTCTTAGAGCTGTTTTATCGTCTACTTTTTCTTAAAAAGAATTTCTGCGTTTGCTCAATACTGAAAGTTCCTTAACTAATGGTCAAATCTGAGTTCTAAGATTTTTTTGCAACCCCTTATCTTTGCTTTTCTAGTTACTTTGAATTAAAACTAGGAAAGATTAAATTTAGTGTCATAACGACATCAAAATAATTGATGATACACTTTTTATACATTTGAATTGTCAAAACAACGAAAATTTTATTCAGAAACAAATAACGTGCATTCAAGATTAAATTTTCAAATTTTTACCAGCAGTACTGAAAATTCCTCATGTTTTTGTCTGCCGGACCGGAGGACTACCTCCCATACAAAGCACTTCCTTATAAAATATGCATGTACATGCTCGAATTCAAGATTTTTTGTAAATGACCTAAGAAGACAACGCATGCCAAATCTCGATCTGATGCGAAATCTGAGTAGCATGGCAAGAGGGAACACCGTGACCCATAATTCGTTACTTGTACGAGATTTTCCATAAAACAAAAGGATTTCCGGGGATTTTCAGATAAAACAATAGGATTTTTACAAAAGATGTGCGAGATTTTCTTGGAATGATTTGGCCTTCGTCTCTGCCAATGTCCCGGCTTTTTCAATCTGGTTAATCTTCGTGAAAGATGTTAGGATGCACCCTCCGTCCTGGCCCCTTTTTCCTGCTCTTCTTTATGATATCTTTAGCAATAGATTCATTTAATATAAGCAAGATACAAGTTTCTATTTACAGTTACTATTTAAAGGCTATACAATTGAATAATAACCTTAATTGATGGAGATCCGGGAAGAGGATCATCCAACGCTTTGGATTGAAACAATTATTGAAAAATTTATTTTGATGATCATGAAGGAAAACCTTATGATATGTTGAGTTTTGGTTTCCCAGTTATATTATTCACGAGTTTTTGTTTCCCAGTTATAACAGTTGCCTTTTTTGAATTTATTCACGAATCTAAAACGGAATTATCAAATGTACAACATGTTGAAAAATTATGTTTTGATAAACCTACAAAAGGTCACATGAACTGTAACGTAAACAATTAGCAATTTCACTTAACCTTCATTGTTTTAAAACTTTTCTCCGATCAACTCTCTGATAAATAACGGAGTGAAATTGGGGTTGTGAATAAGGAAACTTCAAGAAGAGGAATTTTTTTCCTTTTTTTATGTTTGTATATCCAAAGTATTCTATATTTCGGAATGGCACAAATAGCATTCTCAATGTAGCTACCGGAAAAGAGAGGTGGGAAAGACGTTTGAAGGGTTTGAAGTGAAAAAGATATAAAATAACGTTTAGCCCCCTTTATTCTTTAGACGCGCCGAAGTGGTGAAAATCTAGGGATCATGACATTTTTTGAGCATTACAAAGCCCGTTGATGTCTGACAATGGGTTAGTTGACCAAGAACACGCGGGGTCAAATTGAAACGAAACTTTCATAGCGAGATCACTTCCGTTATTTTTCTCACCACAAACTATGTAATTGGTATAGAAAAGTGACAAATGTATCCTGCTACCCACTCATCTCAAATGTTTTGTTGCCTATTTACATTTTGTTCACGCCAACGTTGGAGTTTTCTGAGTTCCTAAACGGGCCCAAGGAGAAAACCAGAATGCCCTCCTGCGGCCAGTAATGAGTAAAAGAATGTGTTTGCTGTTTATCGCGAACTGAATGCCTTGTCACTACCGCAATGCCACGGGGACCTCCATTAGAATTAGACTGCAAAGGGTATTGAATGTCAACCAATGAGGAGGCGAGCGGTGCTGTTTATTCAGTTGCCAAGGAGCCACTTAAGCAATGATGAATAGTCGAATTTGAATATGGTATTGTTTAATTCATGCCCAGGTCTTCGTTGGTCAGCCTGTACCGACTACCCGTTGAACAATTGAACAAATCTCGGCTGGCGATGTTGTGAGCGCAACGGTTTATCATATGTACAGGACCGTACAGCAAATGCTCTCGAACGTTATACACGCAGCACCGGATTATCACAAGATAAAAATAATAGGAAGTTTTACCACTTTCGAATGCATTTTGTTGGAAAGGGATTGATTACACGCGATTTTTCTTGTTGTGGTGAGTTGGGTATTTCAAAATTAGATTTTCTTTTCTTCCTTGAAAATATGGAACTTGGATTGCCGTGCAAACGTTTTCGTTGATCAAAACATAGGTTAAAAACAAAATAATCTCACTGTCTGCACTCAAATTCAACGCTCGCTTGTTGTTTTGAATTTTTCTTTTCATGCCGTTTGTTCGTTGCATTCAAAAGTATGTTTTGTATACATAAAGAAGAATTTCTTTTGAAAAATCCCCGTGGAAGGATTTCTTGGATCCTACGTTACTTTCATCTATTATGGTTTTGTGAAGAAATTTAGCAAGAATAATTATTGCCTATGAAATCACGACTTTGTTTGTTAAACTTTTACACTCAAATAACCAGGTAGCCTTGAGTATATGCTGAAGTCATTCAAAGTTGAGAGATGATCTCGTGAAGGCTGCAAGAGCCTCTTGCTTCTCCTCAATCAACAGCTGATTGGAATTAATCAGCAGTTTTAGAGAGCCGTAGAGCGCCTTGTTTCGAGATCTGTCCTTTGTTTTGTTTGGAAAGCATTTTACTTGCCGAAATCGCCAGCCCACTAGATGCATTAGATTTCAACGCAGACCGACTCGAATGGTTTAAGATCTAAATTATTTATTGGTAGAATTCAGTTTTACCCTTAATTCTCGAAATCCCGCAATTGATCAATATTTAAGTATCTTTCAAGCCGAGGTTTCCCACTATGAATTGGATTTTTGTTTTCCTATGGCAGGTCCAATGGATCTCGCGATTGCTGATTGTGCCAAATTTATCAGTGCATGTTAATAGGACGTTTGTAAGCAGGTTGGATTCATAATAGGATCTCTAATGATATGTGGAACAGAATATCAGATTTGTTGGTAACATCAGCATTTGGGTGATCTATGCTGTTACGTTGCGAGTTTCCTAGATATATATTTATATAGCAAACTTGGTAAAATATTCACAATAACGAAAATCTAGCCAGACATGTTGTTTATTTTTAGTTGATTTCCGATAAGATAAACTGGTTAGTTTTTTTTCGCCTTAAACCGGCATAATCTGTTCGGCCATCGTTGGGAAATCTCGCTTGTATTCAAATTACTAATGCCCCTTTGGCTACCCTATTTTGTCAATATCCTTTAAAATTTAGCTTTAATGTTCAGCTAATAAGGACCCCTCAGATTAGATAACGAACGTCAATTTTGGACAGAGAATGCCATGTCTCTCACAAAGCAGTTACCAAAGAATTTTTAGGTTGTTTCGCAAAATGCAATTATAGGGTTTAAATATATCTTGAAAGAAATCTCCTGCAGGTCGCAGAGTTTAAAATTGAATAAGACTGAGAAGAAATGCTTTTTTTGATTCAGCAATTCAACGAATTAAATCAGGGGGTTGTGCCTTTTGAGTTTGCAATTATTTTTCAAGAGCTTAGTTGCCTTTGCCATAGCCCTTTCAACATATATTTTACGTAACAAGAACGACAAAAGTTCACTCGTGGGCGGGTGGTTGTTCCATATGGTTACAATTACCAATCTATATCTAAGTGCTTGATTAATTGCAGCTTTGGATTCACCAATGCTTTGTACGTGGTATTGTCATTGTTATTTAAGCTATGATCCCGGGGTCTTTACCATTCGGGACAAGGGAATGATAAGGGAACCTTGTTTTGATATTCATTTCTCTCCGCAGGGTTTGGTCGAAGCTGAAACTTAAAGAATTAGTTTATGCTCATTGGTGACATTTCTCAAAATGCCCATTCTTGTGAGATCTGGCTCCAGACTTGATCAGATCAAAACCGAGGCAAAACAGGAAGAAACAGAACAGTTAGACGACAGCTTAACAAGTTTACAATGGCTGCAAGAAGTGAAAATTAATATTACTAATGATGTTGCGTCGATATCACCGCCTTACTCGCCCGTGCCGTCAACGAACAGTGACGATTGCCGCGCGGAGGACTTATACGAGGGCATAAAACAGGAGATAGAAGATGACCAAATCATAGATTACAAGACAAATCCGCATTATAAACCACCGTATTCCTACGCGACGTTAATTTGTATGGCGATGAAGGAGGCGAATTTACCCAAGATGACTCTCAGTGCAATATACACATGGATCACAGACAATTTCGTTTATTACAAACATGCAGATCAGAGTTGGCAGGTATGATTACAAGAATCTTTGATTTGTTTTCTTCTGTTTGACAAATTTTTCAATCCTGTTTGCTTTTCTTTCGCAAATATTTTCGCGCAATATTACTGCTTAGGCAACGAATCGCAAATGCCGAACCGGGGGACATTTGCACCCGCACCTTTCGCACGAACCGTCTTTACAACAATCTTGTCAATAAGGCTTGATGAGTAAATCTATTTGAACAGTTGTACAAGCAGAAACACTATGTTCGCGGTGCATCTCCTTCGCAGCAATTCTCTTTTTACTAAGCCGCTAGAAGCTATCATCGTCAGGGCAACAAAACATACCAATATGATGAAAACCACTAAGGCGCATGTACTTGACGCAATGCGTCCAAAACCCTGTATCACAAAGCAACTTTTGGATCAAAAAAGACCTTCTTTTAGCACTTGCCTTGAAGATATTGCCTAGTAGCCTTTAAAGGAAATTGCCTTTTTGTTCCTAGCATTTGCCAAGTGCTTTTTGACCATACCGTCAAATTGTAATATCAAGTGAGAGGTATTGATACAAAGGTAGCCTTCTTTGTTTGGATGTGATTCAAACGTGGCAGCCTTACAAGACAGTGATGCCATTAAATATGTTTATTTAGCGGCCTACATAATTCTTTGTAGTTTCCCGGTCTTCTTCTTCAGTTTCTGCTAACTTAGCAGTAAAGGTAACTTTAATTGTTTGTTTTGAAAACAAATGTTGCATGTACGTCTTGTGAAATAAATGCCTCTATGCCGGTGTTTTTATCATGCAAAATTTTAATTTGGGAGATAAAGATCAGACTGTTTTGTTTGTCGCAATTTGGTAATACCCCCAATCATCGTGCATTTCCAAAGTGACGACTCTTGAAACTTTCGTACTTAGTTTTGTCCGAATAGTAACACTGATAAAAAGTCAGCACCATTTCAGCTAACTCAGATGCGAGTTTGTTGATCGTGTTTATTATTCTTTTATACAGTCTTTCACTCTGTTTCAGAAGCCCAATTTTATCTTCAAAGATTATATCATTTCATTTTCAAAAGTTGCCTTTAGGCCTGATCTACTGTCTTTCTCTCGTCACAAGACGGGCCATGACGTCATTTCTAAAACCAGTACACACTGAGCTCCGTATAAATCCCGAATGGGGTTCCTTGACTGGATGCGTTGGTTTAGAGAGCAAGAAGTTTTCCCTCTGAACCCCTTTCATGCACATAACTAACCACAAATAACACATTTCTCTCTCAATTACTGCAAGCCTTTAGTAGTGCGCCATATTGTTTTTAAGTCAAACTTTATCCTTCCATTTCTTGTGGCCAGGCAACATGGCAATGTTTGGGGTTTTATCAGACTTTTGTATCATTTTCACATGTTTTTTGCCTCCCCTGTAACTAGTAGTGTAAGATTGTAAACTACCTAATGAGGTGAAACCCCCTCCTCTTTGTGAAGTTCAAAAAAGTAGCAAAGTAGTTCGGAATGTTGTGGGTTAAAAGCAATTATTAAAAGCTTTGCTCACGATAACGATAATACCATCACATGTCGAAAGTAAACGGTTCATTGCATATAACTGAGTTATTTCATAAATATTTCGTTAAACTGATCTCGTTTACATTTTACCTCTCAAGAAACAGCTTGTGTAGGATGGAGCTGTCTAGTTTCCATACTGCTTGACCTGATGACGTAATTTGATGACGTGATTCCCTTACCCTAATCCTAACCCTTTACTTGAAATAATTAATCATGCTAATTCATGACTGTTAATCATGCTTATTTATGACTATCAGGTCGAGCAGTTTGGAAACTAGACAATTCCTAGAAAGGGAGGGTTACTAATTTTGCTAAGCACAACCACACCGGTTTTGTGTTACTCTCGGAGATAACCTAGGCATTATAACAATGCGATTTCTTACAAGCTTGGACATTGGGGGCCCTTATTCATCAAAAAGCGTACCATGGCACCATGTGCAATCTGCGGTGAAAATGCGCTGAAGTGTGAATACCAAAGGTTGTAGTGTTAGGGCCTCATTGTGGGGGCCAAGCCTCGTTTGATGAGTAAACTTCTTTACGAAAGAATTTTTGATGTTAAGGAGGAAAAAGGGTTTGCTTGTTTTTCTCTATTCCCATATGTCTCTTGAACGAGTCATATCTTGCAAAAGGTGCCTCCTTAACTGCAAGAAGGTATCGGTTTCCTTTTTGCTTCCTTGCTTTTCTATCATTACTCTACAGCGAGAAAACGTTCCGTTAAAATTGCTTTTAGTTTTATTCATCACTAGCTTTGCTATATTCTTTACCAAACACAACAGAAAAGTTGTTTTGACAGAATCACCATAGATTTGCTTACATAGTTAAATCTCCTCAGGTTAAACTTAGAAACTTTCCACGTTACTTTCTTTTTGTCAAACTTGCCCTAAATGATAGTTCATCCAATTGTGTCTAGGAGTTTTGAACTCTTCAGTCTACAGATCACTACACGGAAATTCTTTGACAAACTCAACGAAATACTAGCTCCATTGAAAGCTATACTACGCTCTTAATCCAGAGGCCTTGGTTATTAATGTTATATCCTTAGAGGTATTTTCACCGTGAAACCTGATTCGACGGGAGTTGTAAGGCCATCTATTAGTGGGCGTAGCATCTTAGCCTCAAATCAATCACGGCAAAGTTGGATTACTACTGAGAATATAGGCGCATTCCTCCGCGGGCTTCACGCGCTTTTCGCGCGTTAAAGGCGGTGATTACACTGTCTAGGGATTTTTCATGGCCCATTTCAGTAATCTGCTTTAAAAGCTCCCTTTCGAATGAATTTTTGTGGGTTTGTCATATAAAATGAAAGAGATTTCCCATTTACTTGCATAAGATACCAATTTTCTTATTCCTTTTTTACGTACTTCTGGTTTGGCTAACTTACATCAGTGTAATCTGCTTACGTCATTTTTTATACATCTTTGATTTTGTTAATGATCCTTTAATTGATGAAATTGGTTTATTCTTTGGTAATTGCCGCAGCGGGAAATTCTTCACGTCCCCAGTGCCGTTAGGGAGTGTAATGAGAAATATTTTCACCTGTACGCCTCACCTTAACGTAAGCAGATTGTTGTTCGTTACTCTATGATAATGTTTTCCGAACAATAACCTCATTAAAGGTGCGAGCAGTGACCCGTTATGCGCACGTTAAATTATCAACGAGAGAATTGATTTCATTTAAAGTTTTTTTTATGTGGCAGGGGCGCTCCTGTCTAGCTCTGTGCGACTAATCGTGCGAAATATACCTGCAAGTTGCGTAATGCAAAACGTGCGTTTAGTATTTCTATCTTGTCACGCTAGATATATACACACACGGACCCGAAATCCATCTTCATATATAATTCAGCGCAACACAGCCATTGACATTCAAAAGTTGCCGGATACGGTTCCCGAATCATTGATAGATAAATGTGGGTTACAATGCTACTTAGGCCCTCCCCGACATCATGACATGGAAAGCAACTTAAACTTCAACTCGATTTAATAGTTATGTATTCAATAGTTATGTGTATAAAGAAAGACACATTCCTTTTTAGTGCCGTTAAAAGCAGTCGGGCTCTTAGTCTCCTTTGGACCATCTTAGACAAAAATCAATGATAAACGTTATCAATTTATATTTCACGTGTTCAGTCTTTGATGTTGTCAACTTTTCGAAAGCAAATCTGCGTTTTGCCGTCCTTTAGTTCCGATACAGGCCCACATGATCCGGATTTTATAATGACCTGACAACAGTTTTTATAGTTCCTTCTTTGACCCAAATAAGTTGAATTCTTTTCTATTGAAATAAGCTGTACTATCCACAATATTTTTTCGAAACTTTTATTTGAAATTTGTGACCCAAGTATCTTGGCAAAATTTTTGAAAAAGCAAGGTCGATAAGGTCGGCGGTGCTCTCTCCTTTACTGCATGCACTTATTTCGATCTGTATTCGCATACAATCTCCTTCTTTCAGAGATCCCACAACCAGTGTCGAACGTCTTGGAGCTGTAGTGACGATTTAGAAGGTCGCTTCACAAGAGCAATTTCTCTTGCAAATAATGTACGAGATTTCCGCAAAAGAAAAGGGTTTTATATGGAAAACATTAGGATTTCCAAGAAATGTATACGAAACTTTCATGGAATGATTTGCCCCTCGGGATTTCACTTGCCCCTCTCTCCTTCAAACAATTTTAGCTTTTTATTGAATGAAGTAAGAGACTAGGTAACGTGTGTTCAATTTTTACCTAAGCTGTTAACATTGTTTTTTGGTAGGCAGGGAGATGTGAGGGAACAAAATGAAACAAGGCACTAGTCGATGGCTGTAAAATTAGTTGAAATTTTAGATAAAATTCAGGTCTTGTCGTGCAAAAACGTTATATTGGGCAATACCTGTAAAATCCGTTTAAAAGCATCTCTCCGATTCTAGAGCAGCTGTCAAAAAAGGACGCATTTTGATAAAGAGTTTTGTCAAATTTTCATCGGCTTTGAAAAACAAATGTTTTAAAATTTCGATTATTCTAATCAGAATGTAAGTGGATAGGGGAGGGGAAAATTCACAAGTCTCGTTTAGTTGAGAATTGTCAACTGAATTGTTTGCTCATTTACAGCTGAAAATAAGAGCAAAGCTGCTCGCAAAAAGCCTAAGCTCGAGATTTTCCTTCCAATTCTATTTTAAGGAAAATTCATTCATCCAGTTTGATTACAGGAAAAGCTACAACAGGTGGCTAAGTAGAAACGGCTGTCCTTTCGAAACAGGTTTTAATGGATGAGGTGGTAATTCAACAAAGAAAATTTGTTAAGCATTTTAAAGCTATGTCTATGTCTTATAAAAGCAGTTTCATGTTTGTTATAACAATGACAATTTTACAATGATTTATGTTTCCAAAATTGGTACTGCGTATCTTATCAAGAAAATTCTTCTTTGACAGATGTAAATACATCTGATTATGACGCTTCAATCCATCGAGACATCTGTTCCTTCCTAAATGCTATCTATTGCTGGT